AAAAGAATTGTTGTAAAAACAATCAAAATAAATTAATAAACTAATGCAAAACCAGAATGCAAATGCACAAGGTGCTAATTCCAAAAGAGATCACTATAAAACAACCTTCATCAGACCATAAGTGCTCCTCACGCTAGACAAACGACCTTCATTTTATTCATTTACTCGATCTAGGACTTTCTTACGATTTGATGTTGCCTTTGTAGTCGTGGTTAGACTCCTCAAAGTGTTGAACCACCTTTCTTTATTTTAATTCACTTATTATGATTATTGGATCTCTAGACTTCCATTTCTGTGGGATTCTCCAAGAGGAAAGCATCTTTGATATTTCGCGAAGGATCTTCTCACTCTTGACTCAACTATCAATTGGCTATTTGATACCATCTTGATCTTTGTTTAATAGGAGTCTTCGATTAATCTTTTAGCTCTTCTCTTGTCTATCAACTTCGTTTTTAAGTTGCCACCCTTACGGATTTGATTATCTAGTTATAAAACTCTTATGACAATAAGAAGAACTTTTAATTTGATAAATCACTTGCGAATTAACACCTTGTCTGGTTACGATGTGAAAATGCAAATGTAAATATAAGAAAGATAAAAATAAGATTAAAAAAAAGAAATCGTAAGTACTACTTAACTAAAAAGGCATAAAAATATTCACGAAAATAAAAGATCCTACCCAACATGGTATCTACCCATACATGCTTTTATAGTAGTTCTACTGAGACATGTTTTCTACCCCCATAAATCATAACCTCATGAAATCTAGTTCGCATGCTTGTTTGAGAGAGAAAAAAAGAATCTAACCACATATTTTGTGACCTTTGAAGAACAACGGCCAAATATTTAGTATGAAACGAGCAGAGTTTTGGTATTACTATCAGGGTCCTCGAATTGTCCTTTGCTTGTGCTCTCTTGGGCCTGCCAGACACTCAATCCTCACCCATTATTGGCTTAACGAGTCAAGTTCAATTCGAGAGGATGCATTTCCCATGTCCATACGAGGAAACTCAATGTTTCATTCGTAAACACAAGACATAGGCACCCCAAGGTTACTTACTAAAGCCCACGCGGAGAAAAATAATTTTTCTCACGTAAACATAGCGTTCACCCCTACCTAACGGGACAGAGCACAGTTAGAAAGCATTTCCATGGATTCCCCATACAAAATAGTATTGCCCTAATACATATATAAATACATTAAAAAACAAATTCATTCGGATATATAAAAGGTATTATTTTGTTCAAACAATTCTTGGAAACGCACTCATTGTCAGTTAAGGAGCGTTTCTATACATTCCTCAAGTAAAATAATATTTGAAAATATTACAAATAGTAAGAAATTAAAAAATATGTAAATGATGGATCATAATAATAAAGATGATGCATTTAGAGATTAAACTATACAACCAACAAGAAATCAAGGAAACCATTGCAAATATTTCACAAACTAGGCGATGCAATTGTAAATAAACCAACTTTAATCATTCAGGAACAAAATGAAAAATTATTAAAGTAAGGCACTCGAATTAAAATAATCATAAAGAAAAGATCACAAGCATAAAAGGAATAAAATGAAATAAAAATTAAAACAATAGCCAAATAATAATCAATCGGTGTCTAAAATGCATAAATTGAAGATATCATATCCAAAATATAATAAAATAATAAATAGAACACAAATAGTGGCCAAAATGAAAAAATGTAAAAAACAGTGACTAATTTTGAATAAACTAGAATAATAAAAATGACTAAATTAAAAACATGCACAAATTTAATAACAAAATTAAAGAAGTAAAATAAATAAAGGAAGAAAAAAAACCAAAAAGTTAATGCTGAGAAATAAAAGGGAAAATCACTAAATCAGTCCATAACTATTTTAAAAAATTAAACAGTCACTACACATGACCAAAATGTAAATCACACATAAATATACAGGGACTAAATAGCAATTAAACCAAAAATATATAACATGCATAAGAAACGAGTCATTTATAAAAGTGGTCCCTACAAGTGACCATTTTACAAAAACACGCATCACTTAGGGGGACCTAAGTGCAATTTTCATCTAAAGTTTTATGTAAATACAAACTTTTTTTTCATTTCATTTTAAAAAACTAGAGAAAAAAGGTATCCCTTCTCTCTAGAAAAAAGCCATCGCGCCGTCGTCCGGGCTGTCGTCGCTGCCGTCGGTGGTCGTTGGCCACCAAAACTTATCGAGAGACTCGTCTTGAGCTCCTCGTCTCTGATGTGGACTCGGTTTCGCACGAAACGACCTCCAACATCGTGAAATAAGCCTAGAACCTCTCAACTTCCACTATCCCGATCTCTGTCGTTCACCGTTGGATCGTCTCTAATTCGAGATATGTTACTCGCCGACTCTCTTCTCCCTTTTTATTATTCAAACTGGGCAACAGAGACCCCAATCGCCAGAGAGAGGTATGGCCGAGAGGTAACCCTTTCTCCTATCCTCCCTCTTTTTTATGATTTTGGTTTGATTTCGTATGAAAGAAAAAAAGAAGAGAAGCATTTTTTTTGTTGTTTTAAAATAAAGAATAAAAAAGAAAAAATTTAAAATCTCAAGCTTTGATTTTATTCATTTTCGGAAAAAATCGGGAGAACCTTCTTATATTGTTCTTGTTCGAATCAGGAATCTTATCTCCCTGAACTCCCCTCCATTCTTCCTTTTTTTTTCTTCGGGTTATATACCCATTACAAAGTTATAAAATTTTCCTATTGCATGTGATTTACTGATGTTGTTTGCTGTTATGGTTGATTGACGAGGAGAGGGGAACTATCTGCTATGGTAGTTGGTGGCAGGGAATAGTGAATTGCAGCAGTATGGGTACGGGATGGTGGCACAGTGATGCCAGGCCATGGTGTTGGCAGTGGGTGACCAAAATGGTCGAATATTGGGCTTCGGGTCATTTGGGCTTTGTTGTTGGGCCTGATTTGGGTGCTTGTTGGGTTTTCTTGTTGGGCCAGATGGTTCTTTGTAATTAGGCCTAATTGTGGGATTTTAATTTGGCTTGTAAATAAAATAGAATATAAATAATAATAATAATAATAAATAAAATAAAAATGGTCTCCGGATGAAAACCACTGTCGATAGTAAGGTTGTCATTTTAGGTAAACCCTTTCTTCCATTTGCAATTATTTCTTTGTAGGTTTCTTGTCTGTATAGATTTTCATGTTGCTTCGTGCCTTCCAAGTTGTACCTTTAACATTTGATTCATATTTTTCCAGGATTTGAGCATTTCTTGCACTAATTGAATTGTAGATTGTTCATCATTTTTCTTACTTATGGTTGCAGCTATCAACTCCATAAATTTAGGCTCCAAGAACCTTTTCATGCTATAAGAAACGATTATCGAGCTATAATCTTCATATGAACAATGAGCTGGAATTGTACCAAATAATTTAATTTCCACATGATCTTTGACTCTTACTTTAACTTTGCTACCTTCAGTGTTGAATTCTTATATAGTTATGACATTATTTGTCACAGACTTGCCAAGATTTAAGAATAAGATCGAAGAAAAGAAGGGAATTTAGAGACGAAAGAAACTTAGAGAATGAGATAACTCAAAAAAGAGAAATTGCATTCAATATTCATATACCTTTTTTATTATTTGTGCATCCTTTTATTCATTTACGATGTACTAATTTCCAATTGTCCTAGAATATAACAGTTTTGTCTCGTCTGCAGGATAGTTACAGTTACTTGGCTCTCCAGGATCAGGATGCTGTTGAACATTCATCAAAGTGTTGATTGTTGGGGTCTTCTCTTTGTTTGCTGCTCTAGCCCACTTCTCCTTGACACCATTGTTATATATCAAAATGTTGTCATTTCCATCTCCAAGTATAACGCTCGTATTTTCCCGATTCTCAATTTCCACCAATTTCAGTTTACAAATCCCTAACCCTTGAATTTCTTCAATCATCTCTTTATTTTGAACCTTGATCATGACAATTCCTCCCTCTTCAGGCGATCCTTGTCCCCAAGGATCAAAATTCGGAAGCTGCCTCTTTAGCACCATATAATCCTCCCATTTGGCATTTTTCGGTCCCAAATTCTTCCGCCGCACCATCAATTGAGTGATTTCCTGGTTCTTCTTCTTCACCATACGCTTATCAAGAACAATAACATGAGAGACTTTCAGTTGGCCATCTGACCCCAATTCATGAGGGTCTAATGAGGTAACAATTTTATTTCTTATTTTCTTCTTGAGAAGGCTGATGCAAAACACGAGGTGCACTCTTGAAGTGTCTGGTATTTGTGGTCTATAGGCTACTGATCCTATTTTTTGAATTACTATGCAAGGGCCATAAACTCGAGCAGCCATCTTCAAGTTCCTTCGAAGAGCCAACGATATTTGCTGGTAGAGTTGTAATTTTAGGTAAACCCTTTCTCCCATTTACAGTTCTTTCTTTGTAGGTTTCTTGTTTGTATAGATTTTCATGTTGCTTTGTGCCTTCTCAAGTTGTACCTTTAACATTTGATTCATGTTTTCCCTGGATTTATGCATTTCTTGCACTAATTGAATTGTAGATTGCCCATCATTTTTCTTACTTGTGGTTGCAGCTATCAACTCCATTAATTTATGCTCCAAGAAAGTTTTCATGCTATAAGAAACTATTACCAAGCTACAATCTTCATATGAACAATGAGCAAGAATTGTACCAAAGAATTTAATTTCCACATGCACTTTGACTCTTACTTTAACTTTTCTGCCTTCAATATTGAATTCTCATATAGTTATGACATTATTTGTCCCGGACTTTCCATGATTTGAGAATAAGATCGAAGAAAATAAATGAATTTAGAGAAGAAAGGAACTTAGAGAATGAGGGAATTCAGAAAAGAGAAATCTCATTCAATATTCAGATACCCTTTTTGATTGTTTGTACATCCTTTTATTCATTTACAAATGTACTAATTTCCAACTGTCCTAGAATATAACAATTTTGTCTCATCTGCAGGATATTTACTGTTAGTTGGCCTTCCTTGATCAGTCTACCATTGAACATTCATCAAAGTGTTGATTGTTGGGGCCTTCTCTTGGTTTACTGTTCTAGCCCACTTCTCCTTGACACCATTGCTAGTTATCAAAATGTTGTCGTTTCCATCTCCAAGTATAATGCTCGTATTTTCCCAATTCTCAATTTCCCCCAATTTCAGTTTGCAAATCCCTAACCCTTGACTTCCTTCAATCATCTCTTCATTCTGAATCTTGACCATGACAATTCTTTCCCCTTCAGGCGATACTTGTCCCCAAGGATAAAAATCCGGAAGATACCTCTTTAGCACCATATAATCCTCCCAGTTGGCATTTTTCAGTCCCAAATTCTTCCACTGCACCAACAATTAAGTGATGGCCTGGCTCTTCTTCTTCACCATATGATTATCCAGAACAATAACATGAGAGACCTTCAGTTGGTCATCTGACCCCAATTAAGTAGGGTCCAATGAGGTAACAATTTTATTTCCTATTTTTTCATGAGAAGGCTGATGTGAAACACAAGATGTACTCTTGAAGTGTCTGGTAGTTGTGATCTATAGACTACTGATCTCATTTTTTAAATTACTGTGCAGGGGCCATAAACTTGAGCAGCTAGCTTCAAGTTCCTTTAAAGAGCCAAGGATATTTGCTGGTAGGGTTGTAATTTTAGGTAAACCCTTTCTCCCATTTGCAATCCTTTCTTTATACGTTTCTTGTTTGTATATTTTCATGTTGCTTTGTCCCTTCTCAAGTTGTACCTTTAACATTTGATTCATGTTTTCCCTAGATTTGAGCATTTCTTGCACTAATTGAATCGTAGATTGCATTACATTTTTCTTACTTATGGTTGCAACTATTAACTCCATTGATTTAGGGCCCGATAACCTTTTCATGCTATAAGAAACCATTACCGAGTTACAATCTTCATATGAAAAATGAGCTGGAATTGTACCAAAGAATTTAATTTCCACATGCTCTTTGACTCTTACTTTAACTTTGCTGCTATCAATATTGAATTCCCATATAGTTATGACATTCTCTTCTCCTTCAGATGATCCTTGTCCCCAATGATCAATCAATAAAAGAAACATTAGAAATACCTTTAAGAAGTGTGTTGCTCAGAAGCTTGTAAGACACCCAATGCAACATAAAGTAAGTAATTTTGTAAAATTAAAACTAAGCATTGTGTTGGTCATGACGCTATTTCTCATAGATGCGTCAATAATCACCTCACTGATGTGAATTCCCTGAAATGCTACCTGAATTTTTTCATCCTTATTGAGCTTAGGAGCTTTTGCGGATTTCACTACTGCTTCATGTGTTTTATCCTTCCTTAGTACACCATTGCTCGTGGCATTAGAAATACTCACAGTCTTTGCAATTCTTACTATTCTAAGCTAGAATATATTGTGTATAACGAGATGAACAAACAGAAATGAATTTATCTCTGCCACAAACAGTACCCATGATTTCCACTTTAAATGCTAGTGCACAAGTATTGTTAGAAGTGAGCTTCTTGGGATGCTTCTTTAAATCCAAAGTAGGTAGACAACCAACTTCATAATTAAGCTCATATAGTGCTTGAATTGCTTTGTATAACACAGATAAATAATCAAAATTCACACTTCTAGCCCCTTTGACATCGGACACCTTAATTTTGAAGAATTTATCCTTGCCATAAGAGAGAACTTCTCTAAATAGAATTGAAGATATGAAGTAAGCATATGAGTTCGTCCCAACTTCTAACTTGGCTAAGAGTTCTTTACTATTTTTATTATATGATGCCAAACTCCCACAATAACATGAATTTAACTTAGCTACCTGAGTGAAGAAAGCTTTCTTTTGTTTATCATTGCTGCCATGATATGTCCAATGTTGAAATTGATAAATCTGTTGCATCTCTGAAAATATCTTCCCCAGTCAAACCATATATTGACACTTTAAGTTTGACATTTCGTTGAACAGTTTCTTCTTTGGTTGTGAAGCACCATAATACCATTTATGCAAATTTCTAAAGAATTTTCTTTGTTGCTGAAGTTCTTTGTTGATCAATGGTAGTTGCTTTGCAAATAATAAATAGTGAATAAGGTCAGTGTAGACTAATTTATAATAGTTAGGGAATTTGTTAGGGAGTAGTTGAAGCTTATATGATTTAGTTATAGGTTTTGGAAATGCTATTAGGGTAATGGTACCCTTGGTTGTAAACTCATTGGTGGAGGTACCATGTGCTTGTTTAGTATCATCTTTAGGTGGTTGGTCACTGCTCTCTAGGTTACTCTTGGACAAAAGGTCAATTTTTTGTACGTAAATAGTATAATTATTCTTACCATAATCATCATCCATCATAGTATCCTTTGTCATCCTTCATGGCTTGATTATGCGGTATAGATGTAAGATGAACAGTACTGGTTTTTGCTTGTTTTTGAATCACCAAATAGTGTCTTGGTAGGTAGAACCAACTCCTTTTTGCGTTAATAACTCCAGTATTTTGATGAGGCACCTCTTTTGCTCGATCAGCTTAGCCTCCATGCTGTCCATTCTTTCCTCTAAGGTAGTTTTTTTGGTTTTTCCACCATGTTGGAACCTCTTCTCTAGTTTCTGAAGATTTTTTTGTATTGTTGTGGATTCATTGCTTTCACTGAATTTTTAATGCATTTTCTTTTATTTACCCAGTTTGAAATTAGATCAATGAACCTACTCTGATTACCAATTTGTCACGGACTTGCCAAGATTTGAGAATAAGATTGAAGAGAAAAAAAAGGAAGTTAGAGAAGGAAAGAATTCAGAAAAGAGAAATTTCATTCAATATTCAGATACCCTTTTGATAGTTTGTACATCCTTTCATTAATTTACAATGTACTAATTTCCAGTTGTCCTATAATATAATAGGTTTTGTCTCATCTGCAAGATAAGTACTGTTACTTGGCCCTCCTTGATCAAGCTGCTGTTGAACATTCATCAAAGTATTGATTGTTGGGCCTTTCTCTTGGTTTGCTGCTCTAGCCCACTTTTCCTTGACACCATTGCTAGATATCAAAACGTTGTCATTTCCATCTCTAAGTATAATGCTCGTATTTTCTCAATTAATTTCCCCCAATTTCGGTTTACAAATCCCTAACCCTTGACTTCCTTCAATCATCTTTTCATTCTGAGCCTTGACCATGACATATCATTAAAGCATGATCAAAAGATCAAGATCAAAGAAATATAATTATTTTTTTGGAAATTAGAAGTAAAAGCTTTATTGATGAACTTGAAAATTAGAAGAAGAAGTTTGAAATCAATGAAGAACAAACTATGGAATTTCGTCGGAATTGAAGGATAATAGAAAAGGAAATAATGGAAGAATTGATCTAAAATAGCAGCAAGAATTAATAGAAAAGAAGAGAGGATTTTGGTTAGAAGATGAACAATTCTTGAAGAAATTTTGAGAGAAAATAAAAGTGTTTGGATAAGAAATGAAAATGAAGTTGAAAGGTAATTAAAATCAAATAGAAATTAGTTATGAAATCAATTAAAATTGAAATTAAAATCAAGAAACTTGGCAAGGGAGTTCAGACAAAGATAGTTGAAAACGGAGGGAAATTTGATCTTAGACAATTACTTTATAGAGTTAATGATTTTGATCTTTTTACGATTTATTCAGTAAATTTTAACTTTATTAAAATTTAGTTTAATCCTTATTTTACAAATCCAATTTGACATTGTAAAATTATAATTTTACTTTCAAAACCTATTATTATTATTCAAAAATATTTATCACATTTTATTTTAAATTTTTTCATTTTTTGAAAATTACATGTGCATTTTAAATATAAAAATGAACCAATATTCTATTTTGAGCACCTCTTCATCGGAAGTATCCCTATTTTGATTTCCTCAATTGTCTATAGTTTAGGGTGATTATAAAATAGTACATGTTCATAATCTTTCTTAACTATTGACAACATACACCTTGCAAACGTAGCTGTTCACTTCTAAGGAGAACAATGTTCTGTTTAATCATTGAAGTAACTTGACGAGGAGTTTAGTGTTGTAAAATTTTCACAACCATTCATTCCCTTTCAAGCCATGCTTAATGATAAACCAGCCCGTCTATTCTCATTATCTACAACAGTTAGGCTTTTATTAAATATGACAGAATCCATTCTTAACAGTATAATAATCAGCAACACCTTGAAGCTGTGTGGGCTCCTTAGAGAAAATCAATTCATGTGAGTGTTCTCTTATCCTTTTTGTTACTTAACATTAGACTTACTCACGGGTCAGGTGGCATATCTGATCCGATTGCCCCAATCTGTTCGAGTTAGGCTTTGGGTAAGTATTTTCAACATGTAAGCTGACCTAATAATGTTTAACTGATTTGAATTAGGGGTGCACATGAATCGAGTTTAAAAGAACAAGGTTATGTCCGTGTTAGTTTGTTTACTTTTTAAGGTGTTCGTGTTCGGTTCATGTTTGTTTAAATTTTTAATATCGTGTTCGTTTTCGTTAATTAATTTATTTTTGAAGTTGTTCATGTTCGTTTATTTATTGTTCGCGAACATGTTCGTTAATGTGTTCATTTAGTGTTCACGAACATGTTTGTTTAACGTTCGTTTAGTGTTCGTTTAAGATCCATTTAATGTTCCTTTAGTGTTCGTTTAGTGTTTATTTATTGTTCATTTATCGTTCGTTTATATATTCTTTTTTTAGTTTGACCCTGTAACACTATAGCCCATAAACATCTAAAATTATGAGTCATAAATGTCACACTAATGTTCACTATTCACAATTCCTTGAAATATTGTTTCTTTTAAACATTTCTATTTGCAACTTTTAAAACTATTTATATCTACTTGAACATCCGTATCATTTAAAAAACATAATCTTATAGATATATTTTATGTGTATCAAATACTAATAAACTAAACTAGTCAAATTAAACAGTCGTAATTTATTATTACAAACCATTTAGTTATAACTGATAAAGCAACCTGATAACATAATTACACATGTCACTACTAGTTAAAAGAAACATTAATGATATCTACTGATATTGATATTATAGATGATCTACACACGATGCTTAGGAGGCTCCTTTCAAAACGTCTATATCTCAATCAGACCCTACACATGAAAATCATCACACGCTAAGTATAACTTAGTGAGACAGTAATACTAAAGGTGAGAATAAATAAATAAAATATTGAAATATATAAAATCATTTAAAATAAAACAGACAGAACTTTGAGAATATTCAAATCGGATATTTCATGTTGTTTCTTTATCAGAAACCTGAAAAGAATCGTCTTATGATTTTTACAAAAATCATAACAAGTCATATCAGACAGAATAATTAGTCAACATTCCTTTATAATCAGAAACTTTTCAGAATTTTTATATTTCATTTTTTTATATCCCAAAGTATATTTAAGAGAATATAAGGTGTGAGTAAAATGAGTGTGCGCAATAAAAATCTCAGTGCTATCATCAGAATCAAAACGGATAAGCACACACAGTGCTATCACATCGAAAATCACAATATGCACACAGAATGTAATCACATTGGAATATATATACTAGTGTACACTCCGATACACCACAGTATATCAAACTGAAATATAATCACTCCACCTCATGGCATGTCAATTGTACCTTTGACTCTCAACATAACAAAAAGTGGGCGTTCACTTCATTTCGTAATCATTTGATAAAAATCATATTAGAATAAAAAATATATTTAAATTACATTCGTAAAACATGATATGGGCAGTTCATACCCAAAGTCATTCATAATACTTATTAAAATATTATGGATATAATTCCATAATCAAAACATAATTCATATCTTTAAAATAAACAATGTGAGGTTTACTTATCGCAAGTCGTCCTCAATCAAAATAATTAAATAAATAAACTAAACTCATCTATTTTCACTACAGAACTTGTATATAATAATCCTAATCACGAGCTTCGGATCGTTCGGATCGCTAGGTTTATCGTAGTCTGACAATACCAAATAATAACACAAAATGTTTTAACTGCTTATTAGCATCGTACTAACATAAGCTAATTTTAACATTCAAAAATCTATAAAGTAAAAGTCAAGATTAAATCGATATCAAACTAGATCATATTTCCATATAATTTCCAACTTCTAAAAATACTCATCCATGAATATTTATTTTCATCCTTAACCCTTCAACTTTTGCTAATTTACACAAATAAGCCACAAATTGTGAATTCTTTTTAGAACTCACCTCAACCTTTCCATTTAATTAATAATTGTCCCTCACCATTATGATCATTTCACACAAATTACAAAAATTCCAGCACTTTAAGAAAATACCCAAATCAATACTTCAACATTCAAAACATTATAATTTCAACCCAAACTTTCCTAAACTTTCAATTTTCAACCACCTAACTTTATAACTTTGTAATTCAACCCCAACTCAATATTTATTTCAAAATTCAGCATACTAATAAATTTTCAGCGTCCTATAATTTACCCAAACAATACCTCTACATTTAATAACTTCCAAACAAGTCCCCAAGGTTTTGGAACCTTTCAAAATCCACTTCTAATTTTTACCAAATTTGCAATTTGGTTCCAAACAATTTTCCAACTTAATTTCCAGCATTACAAATACCAAAAATCAACATTGAACCCTTCAAATATTACATTCTTACAGTAATATCCCATAATTCCAAGAACTTGTAAACTAGCCCTTTTTCACTTTCAAGGTTCCAAATTAATCCAAATCACATATAATACTTCTAATATCATTTCTAATCCATAGGAAATTTTTCAACATCCCCCCCCTCAATTTCTTCCCTATGGTCGAATGCTTCATGTCACTTGGGGGGACTTTTTGTTCAATTTGAAGCATGAATTCAACCTCTTATGATTAAATTCATGCATTTTCAACCATCACAACACCAAATTGAATCAAAATCTCATCACTTCCATAAACCCTAATTAAGCCAAACCTTATATATACATGTACAATTAATTTTAATTGTAATATCCCAAAATTAGGGTTAATGACTAAAATGGAAATTTTGAAACTTTGAGGTTTAATTTTGAAAGATTAAAAAGTATAAGAAATTAAATAGGAATATTTAAGTAGTGGATTAAATTGCAAGGACATAAAGAATGAAGGTTATTATGGTCTTTTCAACATTAAATATTTTTCTTCTTTATTTAAGGATAAACACGTGGGATTTAATGGAGAAGTCTGGAAGCTTATTCTTCTTCTTGCTTTCTTCTTCCCGTGAGCTTCTTGGTTAAGGTGAGTATGATTTCTGTAGAATATTTCTTAATGATTAAGTGAGTTTTTATTCTTAAGGTATTAAGAAAGCTTAAGAAAAGCTTAAGTTATCTTAAAATCAAAGGATGGAGGAGTTTAAAGAGATTAAAGATTATGAACTCTTGAATGAAAATTTGGAATAAAGTTGATAAGTGGAAATTGAGATTAGATTTGACTTGTCAATGAATTAATTAAGAGATATGAGGTGTTAAAAGTGGATTTAGAACATATAGAAAATTTGGTATGATTCTTGAATTCCTTTTGGAAGATAGGATTTTGAGGATAAAGATGTGATAAATGAGAATAAATGAGTTTAAGCATGAGTATGTAAGTTAAGAATAAGAAAGAGGATGATATATGAAGCAATTAAGCTGAAAAGAGTGAATTTTCGTGCATAAATTAGAATTCTGGGCTAGTGTGCATCGGTACACATTCAACTTGTACCGATGCATCAAGGATAAATTTCTAGAAATTATTCAGTGTGTATCGATGCCCAGGAAGTGCATCGATGC